TGTGGGTGTGGGTGTGGGTGTACCAGTTAATGATCCACACCCACACCCTTTTATCTTTATATAAAAAACGTTTTAGATATGACCACCAATAGCATAAAACAATACTTCATTTCTAAGCCTTTCCGTATCAATTCTTCTTATGTCAACATTATTGTTTTAGTAAGCTCATATGAAAACAAATGATAGGATCGTTTTACGAGACATTATGAATCTATTGATTTCTATGGCTGCACAATTAAGGGTGCGGATATGAAATGAATACAATATCCATACACATACGCTCTCAAAATTAATTATTTTAAACAATAAAAACAAAATAAAAAACGTTTACTAATATGATAGATGAATTTATTAACGATATACGATTTCTAAGCAAAACAACTGAAAAGAATAATTTAATTGTGAGAGATGAGAGTGTCAGTGTAGGTATGAGTGAAAAAGATTTACATTCGCAGACACACTCGCACACTCTTTATATCAGTGGATGTCTCTTTCTTTATCAACTTTATATTTTATTTTAATTTCATCGGTAATTATCTATTGACCCGAATTTTCATCATCTTCATTTGTATGAAAAAGTAATTGATGGTGTGTAATGGATAAAACTCCTGATATACAAGTTATTTCAAATATAAGAGAATATTCTGCTGAATAACGTATTGGTCTTAAAAAATCATATACAAAATCTCTTTAATCAATTTGTGATAAATCTTCATCTTTAATAATTGTTCTTCTTATTATAATATCATCGGATGAACTATTTTCTATTGATTCATTGTATTCTACGTCTTCGTCGTCCTAAATCATTTTCCCATGAATCTAATTTCCAAAATAAACATGAACTATTTAAATAAGTTATTTTATCATTGATCATTTGAGATAAATAATTAATACATTTGTTTGGTAACATTGACGAGATGATGTTATGAAATGATGACATAAATCTTTTCGAACATCATCTGCACGCATACGATTAAGTATAAACTCGGCTTCTTTTGCAACTTTAACAACATGATCTTTATTTGCATGAGCAACTAAACGACCTTCATTAACAAGTTCAATAAAAGCTAAACTAGTATATCTCTCAAGAAAAAATAATAATTTGATACTTTTTCAAATATTATTTGTAATGAATTTTGCCATTTTTGAGAACATAAAAACATGAGAAGTTCAACAGGTAATGCTATTTGTTTAAGAGCATGTAAACCATTAGGTATTAATTCTTGTCCATGTAATCCAACTAAGATTTCCAAAAGTATATGTGAAAATTCTGTAAAAAGCTCTCATAAAAATGGTGCTAGATTTGATAATTTTCCTGCTAATTTTTCAGTTATATTCATTGGTGAAGGTTCCTTTGAATTGAAACTTGTTTTTGGATAATCTACAAATTTTAATTCCGATATTTGACTTTGTTCGAGTGTAGATGGATCATTTATTAGAATACTAGCAATACTTGATAAAAAAATATAAAGGTGTGGGTATTTATCTTCATTTGATCCACACCCGTCTCGTTGCGAAGAGTGAGGGTGTGTGACCCGTTTTGAATGATCCTCACACTCATCTACTCCCTCAACTGTCGAAATGATCGTCTAAAGTAGTAGCTTAGAATTGTCCTATAAACTTATTCTCAAGATCTAATATTTAATATTTGTAGTTAGATATTGTCTAACTGTGGTAGTTGATTATAAGATAAATATTTCTTATCAACAAAGAAGAAAAAAACAAAGTAAAAAAGATAAGATCTAAACAAAGTTGTTGTTTTGACAATATTTGCTATTTAAATTTGTTGAAGAAAATGTCTTATTATGGATCATTCGTTTATTTTTTGAGTATTATTACAATAGTATTACTTTCTATTTTTAATTGTGAATCAACTCCATTGGATGATTATGTTCGTAGTGTGGATTCTCATTTTAATTGGAGTTTAATACGTACTTATGAAGAACCAGATTACAAATTATATATTCTTAATTTTACATCACAAAAATGGCTTGATGGTAAGTTATAGAATAAAGTTTTGAGAAAAATAAAAAGAATAATTTTACAATGAAGATACATTTTCATCACGATCTATTTGGTGGCATTATCTCTGTATAACTGTACCAAATAAGTTAATACGTCCGAATACTGCTTTCCTCTTTATGGATCAAGGTAGTAACAATGACGGGTAATAAATATTTTTATTTAAAAACAAAATTCATTCTTTACTTCAATTAATATTATTAAAGTATTCCACAACCACAAAATGATTTTGTCGCTTTGACATCAATGTTTGGTGTAGGTAGTGGAAGTATTTCTGTCGATCTTCAAGATATTCCAAATGGTCCTATTCGCTTTATGGTAAATTCATTCGATAAATTATTAAATTTAATCTGTTTAAATGACAGGCTGATCCAACAAATACAAGTCGTAGTGGTGATGCAGCTATTGCTTGGACTTGGAAAGCATTCACTGACAATTCATCGAATGGTGACGTTCTTTTAAATTTACCGATGACGAAGGTATTAAAGCAATTTGTTTTAATTAATATATATTTTAATACAGGCTGCATATCGTGCAATGGATGCTGTACAACAATTTACAGATAAACAAGGAATTATTGTACCGAAAAAATTTGTTGTTGCAGGCACTTCTAAGGTAAATCTTTTCTAAATTTATATGAATTCAATAATGATTAGAATTAATAGCGTGGTGGAGCAAGTGAGATATACTTTTGTTTTTGTCTCATATCATTCTTTTAACAAAATCAATTCAGCATGGTTAACAGCCGCTGTCGACAATGAACGAGTTATTGGTGCTATACCTATTGTTATGGATCTATTAAAAATACAATTCGTAAGATGGTTTAATCAAATAAAATTTCCGCTTTTTACATTATATTATTTTAAACAAATAGAATTTACATCATATGTATAGAGTAAGTTTTGAATAAATAAGTTTCTATAAAATAAATGCGGTGTATATAGTCTTTAGTAGGGTGGTCATTTACGTTTCAAGATTTCTTTTTATTGAATATCACTCAATTGATTGACAATGATAATATGACAAAAATATCTCAAATTATTGATCCATATCGTAAATACTTATTCGTTTAATTAATAATCCAATAATTAATTTATTAATAGATTATTTTGATCGATTTTTAAAAATAAAAATTTTACAAATTCAAGCAACTGGTGATGAATTTTTTCTTCCCGATAATGAGATATAATATTAGATTAATGAAATTTAATGATAATTTTATTTGTTTTATCGTTTTTTTTAAGATGCTTTTTGGAAAGAACTTCAAGATGCAACAGGTGGAACATATCTTCGGTAATTTTCATTTGTTAATTTTTAATTGAATATTAATAATTTTTTCAATGAATAGACGAATACCAAATGCTGATCATGTTTGTGTTGGTCATATAATAAGTTATTTTCTTACAATGCGAAGCTTTTATATCAGTATATACGATGTATATTAAAATAAAATTTTTTTTTTTTGTTTTCAAATTAAAATTTATATTATTTTAAAGAATCAACCATTACCTAAACTTCAATGGATAAAATCATCGAATAATACTCATGGATATATTCGAGCAACTGTAGATTTTAGTGTTGGACCTAAACCAATCAGTGCTTATGGTTATCGCGCTCGCACACTGAATGATAAACGGTAAATTTTCTTCGAATATATTTGTTTTTGTGCATATATATATATATTGATCACTAGACGAGATTTTCGTCTTCTTATTGGTAATCCTGCTGATCCAAAAAAACCAATGGGAAATCCTGTATTTTGGTTTAATACTGAACTTGTCAAAAAGGTTCACAATATTTCTTTGTCATATATTGCATGAATAATTAATATACGATAATTTAGATAGAAACAAACACAACAATCGTTTATTCATTGACAATCGAAAACCCAAATGATGGTTGGGAAGGCTTTTTCATTCAAGTCAATTTTCCTGGTCCAAATGGTACTGTTTTGGAATTAACTACTGAGACACAGATTATTCCAGATAGTTATCCAACGAATGACTGTCATGATGAACAATGTGCGGGTTCACTCGTTTAATACTTTTTTAATAAAAAATACTTCACCTCAATCAATAATCAAATAGAAACTATTTTTAAATCTATTTCCACTAAATTTATTTATTTATTTATTCGCATCATTAATATACAAAAATGTGAGAAAACTTATTCACTACTCGATTTAATATTGATAAAAATCAAAGAAAAGAATTCGTTTTTATTTTAGTTGATGTTTTCTTAAAATAAATAAAAGAGATAAATCTTTATTAGGAATGTACCGAGTCCGAGAGGTACGGCCGTCAAGATGGGTGTGAGAGTGGGTGGGTGTGGGTGAGAGCGTGGGTAATAGTGGGAGTGAAAATGTGAGTTAGAATGAAAAGGAGAGAACCCGCAATCACCACACCCTCACACTCTCACTCACAGCCATCCTGACGCCCGAGTCTCAAGACCGAACGGAAAAAAGACGAAAATATCTTTTTGACGTCATCAGATGAATAGATTAACGTTATACATTGAAAATGTCTTTTTAGAAACAAAATCATATTTTTCTAAATTCTAAATTCGTATATTAATGAATTTATTTCAACCGAAGGTTTGTCATTTTAATAAACTTAATTAGAATTATTTTTTTTTGATTTTTCTATTAAACAATTGAAATAAAAGATAATCAAATGAAAGATTTATTAAAATATCTTTATCAAAATGAATCATTATTAAAAGAAAATGGTGCAATAAAATTAATTCCAACATCAAATTTTAAAAATCTATCAAAAATAAATGTGGAAACTTCGAATTGTATCCGAAATTTATGTGTACTACAAAAAGTGTATATATGGAAATCATAGGGAAATATCAGTATTTTTCTAATAACTCGTCCAATTAAGCTCAACTTCGAACTTGACCGAGCTCTTTATGAGTCTGAACTGTGTAGAAAATTTCATCAAAATCTGACTCTCTTTTTGCAAGATATCGTGTAAACGACCGGCCGAACACACTGATCGATTCTAGTAGTGTACTCACTTTTTGAGTACACAAAAAGAAAAGTTAGAAGAAAGGAAAATAAACATAGAAATCTTTCGATTGTATATACTTGATTATTCGAAGTATTTGAATTATCTCATAATCATGATTGTGACTTAAGATTAAAAATAGTAAATCCAATGAAAAATTCATGTTTCAATCAAATTGTATTTTCTACTTTTCAAATTTAAACATGATGAATTGCAGGTTATGAAACATAAACAATAATAAAAATACATAACATATAGCAAGATAATATCGATAATTGATAATTGTATATTCGATTTGTTTTAATATTATTTTTCAATAACAAGAAAAAAGAAATAAAATTGTACGTTCATATTCATCAAATAAGTAACGAGATTTTAATGAAAAATATTTCAAATTAGATAAAATACCCAAGGACAAATAAAATCAATGGTCATATCTATGTTGAAATGTTAATATTTTCTGTCTAACACATACTTCTACTATCATATGAAAGGTGTGAGTGTCATACTCTTCTTATATCCACACCCACACCCACACCCTCAACAGTAAATCATCAGAATAAATCAATAGGGATTTGGTTATACAGTTTCTCTACAACTTTTCATGACGTATCTTTTGAGAAAAAAACTCAAGATTTTATCATTTACTATAGGTGAATATGTTGCAAACGCTTTGAGATATTCTGTAAAATTTATTTTTTCCTCAATTCGTCATTACTTTTGCTGTACTCTCAATATACTATGATATCAATTTAAGAATGTTGAAATAGGGTAGAATTCTAGCGTACCTTCTCAACTATCAATATACATCGAGAGAACATTTTTTTGATCTTTCTACAAAGAAATCTAATTGGAGCGTTACTATTTCTGGTATGCCCTAAGTACTTGAGGCTCAATATTATTTCTTAGCTTGTAGGATGCATTAATTAGAAAAATAAAAGAAAGCAAAAGGAACATAAATGCGTATTTTATATTTCATTGTGATTAAGTTTATTATTATCAGTTTGATGTATTCGATTGGATAGTATCGTTAAATCCACACTTTTCACATAGTTTTAGTAGATTGATTTTGAAATTAGTATTTATTTGAGATTTTCCATGTCGTAACAGAATACATTAGTCAACAATGTCGAATTATTTAACAGAAATAGTTTTTCTTCTTTGTTAGTTAAAACTATTTTCATTTGTTTTGATAGCAAACGTTCGAATAACTATGATATAATTATGGAAAAAGTAAACCGTATTTAATCGGCAGTTTAATTTGATTAAAAAATGAGAAACTTGTTTTTGTTATTAGAGAAGTAACTCTTTCATAATAAATATGCGCACATCTCTATAAATATAATGATAATTTTGAGAAATATTATATGATAAAGTAAAGTAGAAAAGTTTGTTAGTTATTTTTAATCTAATTGGTTGTGATATGAAACAATTTTCATTTAATTTTTGCCGTCAGTTAAAAAGGTGTGAGATATAAGAGAATAATGTAAATATAGATTGAAGAAAATGAGATAAAATACAAATATAATCAACATCAGTATTATGATTTAAAACATCAAGTAGAAATTTTGATTATTAAAAAAGATTATCTTCCAGATTTTTTTTCTGAATTTCTCTATTTTTTCTGTAGTTTAATTTATTCTAATTAAATAACTTTGAAGATTTTTCTTTCAATGAAATTCTATTCTTTTATTCTACAATAATTCTATTGCGTTATCGAGAATAATATATATATATGGAATAAATGAGTGTTTGATGTCTTATTATTTATAGACGAGATTATTAATTGGATATATTCGAAAATACAAAATATTAAAGTCATTATAATGCTTGATAAAATGTAAGATAGAAGCTTTTTTTTCATAGACAGTGTCTATCTGAAAGAGTAAAATATTAGTTAAAGCGATTAAATCTATTAATTTAATGATCTTATTGATTCATTTTGTTCGTATAATATAAAAGATGAAATATTGTATTTTCTCTAGATTTATTTAATTACTTGAATAAAAATCCTATTTCAAAATGTCACTTCCTGCTGTTGTTACTTTTTGGCTTT